AGGTCGTTAACCCGAACAAACGACACATGTTTGCTATAATACAGAAAAATCAATCGGCCGAGTACTATATCATTAGAACACAGAAAAGACGTTTCCAGCAATCCTTGAAGAGGTTGCTGAAGAAGCACCCGAAAGCGCGCGTCGTGGCTGATTTGGAGTATAATCCCAACAGTATCAGCCTTTTTAATCGTATCAAGGACGAAATACCGTACATTACATGCAGATACAACGATTTTAAACTTGTAAACGCGCCTATTGAAATTTTTGTAAATGACGTTAATAAAATGCTAGAAATAGATTAAACAGCGCTTACCCCCTCCACACACACACCTACATAATAATAATAAGAATACCTTGAGCAAGCGCCTCATTCTTGGTAGTGATAAAAATGAAAACCACGTTCTACTTTAAAGCCTTGAGAGGGAGATAAGGAAGCTAAATATTCGCGACGATGTATTAATTAATCAATGGTACTTGGATAAACAGCCTTCGTGTTATATACGTTATGAACCCGTATCGTTTGCCTTGCTGTCTAAAATGGACTTTGACCCCTTCAACAAGCATTCAAATCCAAAGACGTTCAACTACATCTGGAGGCGCATCGTAGAAAAGGACATGCTGCAGTCCATGTGAAAGAACGTGAACAGTTTACGGCGTTTTGCAGTAATGAAAGCTCAGAGAATTTATTTAAAAAATGCAATTGTAAAAATTATGGTGAAATGTTATGTACAGATATCTTTAATAAAAACTTGTAAACATATGATTGAGTATTATTATTTCTAACCTTTGGAAATGAGGGGGAAAAATAAAACGCTGGTATGTAAAATATGTATTTATTTTTCAATAAAATTATACAGAGTGTGTGTGTAGAAAAAAACAGGCGTTAAAGCTTTTGAAACCGTAGGGCACCGAGCTGTGGTCGTCAAGGAACCGTCTCTTGCAGGAGAGAGGTTTATATAGCTTGGTTTGCTGTACTGTAACCACCTCGTGCTTCTTGGTCCTCAAGATGTTTCTCGAGGCCACGCATACCGGAGCAGTGGAAGTATCCAACACCATATCTTTTATGGTATCGAAATTTACCAGTCGTGAGGCTGAGTAGTTAAGGGATATACCCTTAACTTTACACACGACCTTCTCCTCATTATCTCTGGTGGAGAAGACCTTGTATGTGTAGTTTTTCGGACCTCCGCTGACAAACTCGGATATGTAGCTTTCGGGTCCGTATCCTTCCAGTTCGTCCGTCATGTCACCGAGGAATTCGCCTGTAGGTACGTCGTACTCTTCGTCTTTAGCCACGTAAATGACAGAGTCCGTATCGTAGTACAGGACCCTGTCGCCCAGCTGTTCCAGGTAACTGTACAGTTTTAGGCGTGCCTGGGTAGTGACGTAAGCGGCTATGACGACATTTACGGTAGCGAGCGGGTCGTAGGCCTCCTCCCTGTGCTCCCAGTTAACGACGAGCGTGTCTTCGTTGATCGGGAGCGCCGAGTTAACGTAGATGCTGGGGTTTGTGAGCATGCTGAAGAATTCAGCGGGGTTTCTCACAATAGATGTTTTGGGCTGGTTCTCCCTCTGTCCCAACTTCCCCCAAAAGCTGTTCAAGATGAGTTTTGCGAGAGATCGAAGACCGGGGTTCTCCAAGATCTCCGCAAACTCCAGTCTGACGTCTTCCCTCTCGAGGAACTGCTCAATATATCTCTCCTTCTCCTCGTCTGTGGTACAATGGGCGGGCCAGCCGGACGCCTGTTGCTTCACGGAGATGAACTTGTTCATCATATCCGTGAAGAGACCTCCGATCTTTGTGGCCTTATCGTACTGCTGAACGTCGTAGGTCCATATCTCGTGGATCTTCAGCAGACGATACCCTTTTTCAAGGGCTTTCAACACCTCGTCCGTCGCCCATGTCCCCGTCAGAGCTCGCTCTACATCGCTATGTCGGCACTCTTCGCTCGTGTTCATGTGTTCTCCGCAGGTGCGACAGAGAACAAACATGAGCTTGTTATTCATCTTGGCGGGGAGCACCGGGTGGTAGAGATGCTGGGGTGGGAGGATCTTGCATTTAACAAGTCCGTTTACATTGCGAAGATCTGTAGGACATTCCTCGCCCACATGCACCTTGGGGTGGCCTACGGGGAACTTGCCGTATTTGCAGACCCAGGGGTAAAGGGAGCATACGTCAACGTATTTGATTTTTTCGCCTGGGCCGCACTTGTAGTATTCGACCGTGTTCCCTGTGCGGCCTCCGTAGAAAGCGTCTCTGGGGTTTAGCGGTGTTAGGGTTACGAGCGGGTGGTTTTCAGTATAGTTGCGGATTTCGTTGTCGTTCTTATGAAGATCCCGCCTAAACTCGCATTCCCACATTTCAATGACCTCGTAACCGAGGTCTCGAAGTCTTTGTATCTTTGCAAGGGTGGCTTCATGGCGGGTGTTTAATGTCTGGGAGGGGTCTTCGGGCATGGGGATGTCTCTATTACATTTGAAGCAGGCGGGGCAGCCGTGGAAGTAGCAGCCGTTAAACTCAAACACCTGCTTGGTTTCCTCGCAGTACCCATCGACTTTTACACCGGCGACTCGAGATTCTTGCTGTTTAGCAGCGTGTTGAATGTTTATTTGTCGCTGGTGTTCCTCCCACACTAACCACTGTATGGCTATCTTGCTTTGGTTGTCGCGCCATCTGTAGCCGCCTTTGGGGATGATGCCGATGGTGTTTGGCTTGAGGAAGTTGCGCCTGTACACCTTATTGCACGCAGAGGCTATAGTGCAGGCTTCCGTGTACGGGCAGACGTTTCCTGTTTCTATCAGCTGCTGTCGGAACTTGAGACATGCAGCCGTCAGGATCTCCACGTCCGATATGCAATATTCGACTAGGTCGCGCTGCATATCGAACACGTCATCCCTGTGTTCTTCGTGCCACTCGAGGAACTTGGCACGATCTTCCGCCTTCATATTATCCGGGTCATAGTATTCGGCGGCTGGTAGGGGGCCCACGTAATCTGCGTTGGCTGAGGTATTAAACAGGTGAGGGAAGTAACTTTTCTTGAAATTATTGCCCAAGCCGAAAGCCTTGGGTAGCTTGGACAGTGCCATGGGGAAATAATTTAGGCTGTCCAGGAACTTTACGTTCCCCACGACCATGGAAATTATTTTGGTACCCCGCATGATGAGTTCGGGGGTGAGGTTCGTCTGTGTCAGGATGTAATTCAGGCAGAACTGGTGGTCGAAGGCCTGTCCGTTGTGAGCCATAACCACCACCTGCTTGAATTTTTTCCTCATGGTCATGAGGTGGTGGAGGAACGGCGAAATGGGGTCATTGCACCTTAAAATCTGCAGTCTAACCCCGCATTTACTACAGATTTTCTGCGGCGTGTTGAGGCATGTGTCGCAGCATTGCTTGAATACACAGAGATTAGGCTCGTGCAGGTGTGATCCGTCCGGCCTCGCTGTTTCTTGTCGCGTCTCCAAGTCGTAGAAGACGAACAGAAGATCGGTGGTCTTCGGCTTCCCTGTGTTGGGTTGCATGTAGCACAGGTGGTCTGCGGGGACGTGCGCGTTGCATATCTTGCAATATATCTCCCCGCAGATATGGGTTCTGCCCCTTTTTACCACCTTGAGACAGTCGGGGCAACGGCGAATCTGCTTGCAAACCGAGCTCTTTTCCTTTGATCCTTGGCTCCTATGATTGTCGTAGCATTGCCGGCCTCTGAAGCTACGCTGACAATCGGTACAGGTTACTGCGATGTCTTCCGGGCATGCGGGTGACTTCTGGCACGCCGGACATGTGCCACCACACCTGTGATCTTTTTTAGTATTATATGGCACTTGGCACCTCTCGCAGTAATAATCACAGCAGAAGGCCGACGTTAGTGACGTGATAACATTATAGTGGCCCTCGTGATAAATCAAATTTAACGACGGGCCCTCTGTGCAGCCCTTAAATATCACGTCGCGACCTTTGCTGCCATACAGGTACACGACGATGCGGTAGTCTTTTAGGTGTCGCTGGAACTCCTGCAGCTCAGGGATACCGCAACCTTCTTCGGGGATGGTAACCCCCGACACCCGTATCAGGTCTTGAGCTCGCAGAGTCTGCAGCTTTCCGATATCTCTACGAACTTTTCTATACTCTGTGTCCTTGTCCACGTTGGCTTTTGCTACGACGAGGGCGCGCGGTAAACACAAATTGTCTTTATTGTTTATTGCGACAATACCACGTCTCATGCCGCACTCCTCGTCGAAGATGTTATACTTTTCGCCACGTCCTTTCCCTACAGGCATCTTAACCGATGTCACGCCTAAACAGAACGTCTCGGTGTTTAGCCCTGCGGAGTTGGATTGATAGACGCTGGAGATGACGTCCCACACGTCGTCGTAGGTAACTTCTTTAGCTGGTTTGAAGCGGACCCAGCGATCACCTCTGGCAAAGTCCTTCGAACAAAACGAAAAAGACACCTGGTCTTCGGGGTTAAGACCTTCGGCGCCTTTAGCTATGGCCTGCTGGATAGCCTCTTTAACCCACCCTATGGGTTCTTCGCCGACGGGCACCGGCTTGATTTTAAACTCCAAGGTACGCCCCATCAAATTGAAGCGGCGGACCATGCGGATTGTGTCTTTGACGATCGAAAATTTAGACATCTTGAATAGCGTAGAGTACGAGAAGAAGAAAAGTGTGATCTTAACACTTCAAAGATAAGCGGGCTAAAAGATCGCACGGGGGGGCGTAGTTATTACCTTTCAGGTAACCGGCGTCGGTGAGATATAATTTTGCGCCTGAAAAGAGGTCACGTGATTAAGATGTGTTTGATTAAGAAAAATAAGGCGTATATTCTCACAAAAAGTATAAGACAAAAAATTTTGAAAGTGAGTAAAACGAAAAGATAGTGGGTGCTTTCTACCTACTACGGGGCAAGCATATCATCGATCGCGAACAAATGAAAAAATATCAATGAAGCCCACTATCTTATTGCAAGACGTTTAATTTGATATGCGACACGCCATATTTTTTAAAAAACTCACCTTTATTGAAGACGTTTCAACGCCCCTTTTTTTAAAAAATCAAATATGATAACAGCGCGTTTAGATAAGACTCAAGACAGCGTACTGAATGGAAGATATACCGCCGCATCCGGCTTTTATACTCCGCTCGAAACCTCGATCTCGAACCTGTCCCTAACGGTCGATATCTAAAAGGCCTCTTAAAGTTTACGATTTGTGCGTCTTTGCCATTAGAATCAGTGTTAATTTACGATATTCGGCAAAGTGTAGCGTTTTCCCCATTAAAACACGTGTAAGTTGTGGCACACTTGATAATTACGCCCACGCGCGCGCGCGAGCTCGTCAAACAACGGCTAACCGATAACAAAAAGGCCCCCTGATATCCACGATTTGTGCGTTCCGGCCATAAGAATCAATGCTAATTTTAAGATTCCGCCTAGTCTGATACGTTTTGCGTGTAAATCGAAGCACATACGGGTTGATAGCGCACGTAAGATGTAGAAAGCACGTGATATGCGTGGTGGTAACGGTGCGCATCTTAAGCTTTAATCGTTCTTTCTTCGCTGATCTGTTGAGGTGTACGGAGGTGTGTGTGTGTGTGTGGTGCTCGCGAGGGTTTGGTGGTGAGCTGGTGGTCGACTTTCTTCCTCACGTTAGCGTGACAGGTACCGCTTTCATGCGGGAGAGTACAGCCCTTGGCGTCTGTAATACCAGTCCTAATAAGATAAGGGTCGTCGCCTTCAAGGGGCATGTATAGATAACGCTTTCGTTTGTGCGCATACGTGCGAACATATTTTTGTGGAATTGAGTTGCCGGGGCTTCCAACTTGCTGTTGTTGAGGCCCCATATGGCTATCAAAGAACCGCCCCCACCCTATAATCTCCGCGCTCTGTGACGTTTCCTTGGTTCAGTTGGTAAGTTTTTACGAAAATTACCTCAAACCGTAATTATTTTATTATGAAAATCTGTACTTTACTAAATATTAAATATATAGAAAAAATTACGTCAAAAATAATATAGAAATTTTTATGAAAAAATATAGAAAAATGAAAGTCAGTATTTTACGTAGAAATTAGATCAAAAACTGTACTTTACTAAAACGGAGAAACTACGAAAAATTAAATATGTAAAAATTAATAAAAAATACGTCTTACTGTACTTATAAAACGGAGAAATTATATACGGAAAATAGAGAAATTATTTCGTGTATTAATTACGTCTAACTAAAAATTATGAAAAATTGCGTATAAATTACGTCTTACTGTACTTTACTAAAAATTATGAAAAATTTAGCATTAAACTGTACTTTACTATATATAGAAAAAAATATTTTACGAAAATTACCACAAACCGTACTTACTAATGAAAAATTAAATATTACATCAAACTACAAAAAATAGAAAAATTATTTTATGAAAAATTAATTATGAAAAATTTAGCTTTAACTGTACTTTACTAAATATATAGAAAAATTTAGCGTTACTGCCACTTTACTATATATAGAAAAATTACGAAAATTACCTCAAACCGTACTTACTAAAGACAGAAAAATTTATGAAAAATTACTAAAAATATGGAAAAAAATACGTCCTGCTGTACTTACTAAAAACGGAGAAATTATGAAAATTAAAAATAGAGAAATTATTTTGTGTATTAATTACGTCTAACTAAAAATTATGAAAAAATTACGTCTTACTGTACTTTACTAAAAATTTATGAAAAATTAAATATAGAAAATTATTAAAAATTTTGAATATTTTTTTTAATGGTAAAGAGTCATTGAAAAGCCGCTTATCATCACAACGGATCTGTTTAGTTTGAAACACAGCCGTCGAGATGTTTGAATGGCGCTGGGAGTACAGCGCGTATTTCCTATCACAAGACAGCCGTTTTTTCGTTTCGATAGCCCGAAGGCCTTTCGCGTTCACGAACGGATTTAAGTATTTTCGCGTTTGGCTGAACCCTTTTTTCGTTGGTAAGGAAAAATCCAATGATTACCCTTAGGTAATCGTTTAAGATAGATCCCTACACGACGCGATACAGATCTAAGCCAGTATAGAAGACTGTGTATTAAATCTGTATTTACGACGCGATCTGAAAAAATGCAGAAACTGGAAGCAACGACATGCAAGTAATAACTTACCCGTCGGATCTCCGCGTCTCTGTTGTTCTCTGATTTGCTTTTGGCCATTAAAATGATCTTCTTGTATTCGCGCCTTTCCATGCCGCTCTCAATTTTACGTATATTTTCATGTAGGACCATTCCTCTGCCTATAAAAATTAATACTTTAGATTCGATCGCCATCTTGTTAATGGCTGTTAGTAGTTTCGTCGAAGGTAACAGTTTAATTGTTTTTTTTTTGGCTGATAAAAGCTTTTTCATCACGTTTTGAATTTATGATTAGTGACTTTTTTCCTGCTGAAATAATAATAATAGGATTTTGATTGATTTTTTACGATCAGTTATAGGTTTTTGGTTTTTACCTCGTTTTTAAAATTTTTAAATTCTAAGTTTCTAGCATTATTTTACGGGGCATTTTAAATGATTTATTTTCAATTAGAAATTTTCTAGTAAGTTCTAAGTTTCTGGTATTATTTAACTGTAGATTTTGAAATAATGTGATTTTTATGAACGGCTCCAGGTTTTAATGCTTTTAATGATTTTTAATCGGTTTCGTAAAGATTAATGATTATAGGATTTTTTTTTTTAAATAAATTTTCTTTTTTAATCTGATTTTATGATTTATTTTCGGATGCGGGTTTTCCTGTTTTTTTTAAATTAAATTTGCGGGATTTTGAAATTGAAATGATTTTTATCTGATTTTATGGTTTTATTTTCGGGTGCAAGTTTTTAGCCTGTTTTTTAAATTTATAATTTTTTAAATTTTCGAGTAAGTTCTAAGTTTCTGGTATTATTTAGCTGTAGATTTTGAAATAATATGATTTTTTATGAATAGTTTTAAATTATTTTAATGATTTTTAATCGGTTTCGTAAAGATTAATGATTATAGGATTTTTTAAATAAATTTTCTTGTCTTTTTTAATCTGATTTTATGATTTTCAGTTAGAAATTTTTGATATTTTCCTGTAGTTTCTGGTATTATTTAACTGCAGATTTTTATGAATAGTTCCAAGTTTTAATGTAGTTTAATGCTTTTAATGGAATTTTTAAGATTAATGCTTTTAATGATTTTTAATGGAATTTTATGATTTATTTTCGGTTAGAAGTTTTTGATATAGTTTCCTACAGTAATAATTTTTAATAGGATTTTTAATTAAATTTTCTTGTCTTTTTTAATCTGATTTTATGATTTATTTGATGATTTTACGATTTATTTTCGGATGCGGGTTTTTCCTGTTTTTTTTAAATTAAATTTACGGGATTTTGAAATTGAAATGATTTTTATCTGATTTTATGGTTTTATTTTCGGATGCAAGTTATTAGCCTGTTTTTTAAATTTATAATTTTTTAATTTTCTAGTAAGTTCTAAGTTTCGGGCATTATTTACTGTAGATTTTGAAAGTTGAAACGATATGATTTTTGATTTGATTTCTTTTTCAGTTAGAAGCTTTTGATATTTTTCCTGTTTTTAATTAAATTTACGGGGTTTTGAAATAATATGATATTTTTATGAATAGTTCCAAGTTTTAATGTAGTTTAGATTAATGATTTTTAATGGCTTTTTTTTTGTGATTTATTTTCGGTTAGAAGTTTTTGATATTTTCTTGTAGTTTCTGGTATTATTTAACTGTGGATTTTTATGAATGGTTCCAAGTTTTTATTGTAGTTTAATGCTTTTAATGGAATTTTTAAGATTAATGCTTTTAATGGTTTTTACTGGAATTTTTGAAATTGAAACGATATGCTTTTTACCTGTTTTCTTTTCAGTTAGAAGCTTTTATTTTTTCCTGGTTTTAATTAAATTTACCGGTTTTGATATTTTATGAATAGTTCCAAGTTTTTAATGTAGTTTAGATTAATGATTTTTAATGATTATGGTAAATTATTATTTTCGGCTAGAAATTTTCGACCTGGTTTTTTATATAGAAAATGTATGTTGACTTACCTTTCTTTATTGCAAAGGTATCCGTATATATCAATCACAGGACACATCACTCGCACACACACACCAGAACAGCGACACATCATGTAAAGAGAGAGACTCGCTTTTAAAAATGAATATTTTTGCTTCAAACAGTCTACAGGATGATGATAAAACTATCCTACAGTTTTTAAAACGGTCGCCTGCTGTCCGCGATATTTCTTATCACATCCGGACAGCGCTCATTACTTGTTATCATATCTCCCAGGCCCAAGTTGCAATAAACTAATATATGAGGCTTTTGGTTTTCTTGATACAACTGTAATATTTAATACAAATAACGTAACACTATTACATTATGTCTTGAACGTTTGAGATTCCGATGAAGCGCTCTTCTTTAACACATGCCGCTATTTCGGCTCCTTTAGTTTAAGCACTTTAATCTTATATATCATTCCGGTATACGACGCTATTAGACCCATACCGCCCACACCATTCATACGAGCCCGCCAAGTTCACCGCAGGTTACGATAATGACGTCATCTACTGATAACGCCAAGAACACCGCGAACCCTCCCGACATCTACTGATAACGCC